TAGTTTATAAAACAAAATCTGCTTTAAAATGCATGTTTTACAACATGCACTATATAAAAAGATCCTCCTATCGAACAAAAAATATTCAGCGCAGCGCCATCTACATATTGACCTATTTAAAATTTATTTATGTCTAAAACTGAAACTCTCTTAGCGCTCTAAAAACTAACTTTTACAGAATTAAAATATCTTTAGTATTTAGCAAAATATCCGGCCTGGGAGTTTTTATTGGTACACCCTGTATATTTACATACAAAAAAAAAACTATAAATTAAAATTTATTTGCTGAGGTGCTTCACGTACTTTTCTCCTAAAAAATTATTATTTAAATTATGTATATGTATTATGAGATATTTATAAATTATTCAAATTCACATTTTGAAGCTTTTATAATAAGTGTGAAATAAAAATATCAGTATAAGAGAAATATTTCAAAATCTTGATACAAACACATTACAGTAATACTCACTTCTATAGCATTTTTGTGTCACTTTAATAATAGTATTCGCTTCCTCTACATATTCTTTTGCCGTTTGTGTACTGTGGGTTTTACTAAACATCTCTAAAAAAAAAGAAAAAATAGGATTAAATTTTATTACGAATAGCCCATATTTTTATTTCCTCTAAACTGTTATATTTATCAGTTACTTTATTACTAACAATAGGGAATTTATTAGCATTAGATGTTTTTGAACTAATATTATCCTTTTTATAGAGAGATGTTGAAATAAACTCAGATTCTTAAATTTTATCTGACTTTTTTTTTTCTGGTGAAAAAATTGCATTCATCTGAAGCTTATGCCCATAAGGATAAAAGAGACTCAATTGATTTACACTGCTTATAAAATATTTAGTTATTTATTTATATTATTTTAAGCACGATACTGTTACTACAAAAGAACCATATATATTATAATTAATCAGACTTACCTCTTAGTTTGGTATATCGTGAGACCTACCTATAAAAATAAAAACTCTCCATCACCTCTCTCGCAAATCTGACAATTAGTTTGGTGGTGTGTCATATTCTTCTTTTTTTTTAATTAGTTGATTAACCATTTGGAGTATTTGGCCTGAGTATCATGGATAAAAAATTATACTCACATTCTAACCTTTCTTGTGACAAAGACTTACGTTCGACCAGAGGTTAGATTATAAGTGGAGCCAATAAGACACTATTAGGTAATTTTTACTACCAACTACGTACTAAGCGCATACTTTTGGCTGTTAAAATTATTATTTTGTCCTTTTCTTGTCTACATTATAAGAACATTATACATACTTATTTTATCTATTAAGAGAAAGATAATTTCATTTTGGAGGTTTCATCAGACACCGGTTACTTTTTTTTTTAATTAACTGAAAATAAGTTTGCATGTTGATGATTTTAAAGTTACATTCCCGAGTTCTAAGTTCACGTTTTTATTTAATTTATGTCTTTAAAAACTAAGCAAGGGTGGTCCTGGTTACTATGTCTTCATTTATACTTATTGATAATTAAACAACATAGTTAAATATAACATAATATTCTACATAGATAATATAATCTATAAAATATGAAAAATGAATACTCTGGGCATATCAAAAAAACATATGCCTGGAATATCTTTTTAGAATGTAGATTATGAAATATGCTCAAGTGCAAATATTTTTTGTTGTTTTCAACGTTCTATCACTCGATATTGTATTTTTGTGTAACGTATTGTTGTAGCATATTTCTTAAAGAATTAATTGATGTATTACGTAACCTAGCGCAGATATTTCTTGTTAGGAAAAATTATATGTAATTTTGTTAAATATCACTCTTGTTTACAAATATAATAATTTCAACAATCTAGCATTTGATATTGTATATTTGATTAAAATCGTCTTGAGTAATCCATTTATGTATGATTTAATCCAGCGCCGATAATTTTTCGTTAAGAACAATAATACATATTTTAATTTAAAAAACTTATCTCCAAAGTACTTATATCCATTTGATTCTTATTAATATTATTTTCTTCAAAGATGGATAACCTCGCTTTATTATTATTATTCTTAATATATTATTCAAGTAGGAAAAATTGCTTTATTTCGTCCTATCTGACCTATGTCCGCTTTGTTACACAGGCTGCTAAATCTGGCTGCTAGTTTCAGCTTCATGAAATTACTTAACCAACCGCAAAGTTTTTAAATTGGTAAGTATTTTGTATCAATAGCAAAAAACTAGAGATAGGATTTTTAAAGTAATTTGGATAGGGGGGTCTAAGTTTTCCGTTTATTTTGGAAAAGGGGTCTCTTGCCCAAAATAGTTTGCTAATCAAGTAATCAATGCTATAAAATATCCAACAGATTCTTTGACTATGCCCAAAATTTAATCAAATTTTTCTCAAATATCTCGAATGCGGTTCATTTTAGGGAAATTATATATAGAACAAAAATTATGGAGAATGACATCACAAGCAACTTTTATATTCTTCCTATATTTTCCTTATCTTTATATAGCAAGGAAAGTAAAAACTAGCCTTGAGAGTATTTTTTTTAGATGACCCATTTATGGTATATTTATTATCATATTTTATTTAATAAAAAATAACTTTCATCTATCAAATAGATGAGTGAAGGTCGACCTTACTTCGTATCCTGTACTACATTGTTTCGAATACAACTGAAAATTTATTTTAATTTTTGTTAAGTCGGTCGTACTGCTTGTGTCTTAAGTTGGAGAGTTGACATAGTGCCTCATTCTCTAATGGGTGGTGTGGTGCTCTAACTTTCTCTTGTTAATATGCATTTTTAATAGTAAGCAACTACAATTTAAGGCCACTTAGGATATGTTATAAACGTATAAATTGAATAAAGTTATACCCGTTTTTACCTGGTTGACAAGACGTTAAGGCCAAGTGAGAAAGAGCAACTCAAACTTTATAGTTCTTTACATATCTCTATTTGAAATTAATTAAATTTGACCTAAAAAGCAGGTAAACAAAATTGTTAAAAAAAAATTATTAAATAAATTTTAATTAAAAACCCGCTGGCATATTTTGATAGAAAAGACGTCAAAACCTTATTTCTCTATCAAATTATCTATAAAAATAATTGTATTTTTTTTTTTTAATAGTTGGGGCAGGTAATCACACGGGCGTTTCGAATATAAGATTTACGTATACATTAAACGTTCTTGAGGCATTAATACATCTCTATCATTACATTAAATTCCATTTAAAATACTATAAAATGTTTACTACCTAACTAATGCTTTCAAAGGATACTACTTATTATTGTTGTGCCCCACAGTCGGGTATAAAATGAATTACCACATAGCCTGATGACGGATATATGCATCGCTAACTTGCTTGCAGAAAAAATTATTAACTTGTCCATTTAGTCGGTAATTAAACTAAAACATAACTTCCCATTTCGGTAAAGAAAAATCCTAAAAGCGGTCGTAGCAAAAATTAACTATTTAACTGTTGTATCGGGAATTAAACTAAAATGTAGGTATTTTACTATTTTGGTAAGGAAGAATTATCTAAACGGTCATAGAGAGTGCGAGGAGACAGGAACGCGAAAGAACTACTTATAGTAAATATACGGAAAAGGAAAAAAAATATTCCTAGGGTAGCGTATTATCCCAGAATGAGTTGATCGTCATTACGAGCCCACTCAGATAGGGTAATTAAGCTATTTAAGATTTTTTTTATTTGCAATTTGCACGAAACATAAAGAATACAAAGGGAAAAAGAAAACTAACGCATATAGCACCTAATCGAAGAATGAACTGATCGTCATCACGAGCCCGTTCAGACAGGGACAGGATACTATTTAAAGTTATTTAAATTGACGGTGAAAGAGAAAACAAAACTGTTATTGGAGGGAAGAAAACTACTAACGCGGTTAGTACCTACTCCAAGAATAAACTGATCGTCATCACGAGCCCGTTCAGACAGGGACAGGATACTATTTAAGATTCTTTAAATTTACGGTTTACACAACTAAAAAAAAATTACGCGAATAGCACCTACTCCAAGAATATACTAATCGTCATCACGAGCCCGTTCAGACAGGAACAGGATGCTATTTAAGATTATTTAAATTCACGGTAATAGAATAAAGAGGGAAAACGTCTCCCCAAAAACTCTGTTTCTAAATATTCCCAATTTAGTTACAACGCAGCACTTACTAAACAAAAGTATTTATCAATAAAATCAAATTTAATTCCCGATTTAACCTACCAAAAAGAAAAAATATTTCTTAGTACAGACTAACTATCAAAAGTTTAAATCACCGGTATTACAATATTAAAGAACTAAACCCTATCATTTATTATTTAAATCATATTCAATTTCCTTTAAAGAAACGGTATTCTATCTTCAAAGAGTCAACTACTAATATTTATTAATTAAATCAAACTTAATCTTCCTCCCAACAATATTTATAAAAACGGAATTATATTTGCCAAGAAATAAATTCTAATATTTATTAATGAAATCAATTTAAATCTTTTAACTCAACACTATTTATAAAAACGGTATTATATTTGCCAAGAAATAAATTCCAATATTTATTAATGAAATCAAATTATATCTTTTAATTCAACAAGGAATTAAACTCTTCCTGTTTCTAAAAGATAATTCGGTTTTTAAAAATAAATACGGTCTCAATATAAAACGTTTATTCTATCAAAATATGAACGTAAAAACGAAACACGTTTTTTTACCTAACGGATTTATAAACACGGAAAACGTATCGACGGCGGACTTAGTTATGAATTCGACTATTACTCTGAACTGCTGAAATCAAATGTCTCTCCAAAATCTTTAATTCAGGATGAAAGCGAGATTAATTCCCACTCTTCGAAGTACTACCGCGCAACAATATGTCGATCGGCAGCGCGCAGCTGATTCGATGCCTAAGGCAAACGGCTCGAGCGCGCTTATTTGTATTAGACATGAAAAATTAATATAAACCGATTGAGGAAAAATTGACTTCGTTACAATTGGAATAGTTTAACTCACCTCTAACCTTAAACATGGGTTCTCCTCCTAAGGTACTTTCGCAAACACAATCTTTATTATTAACCATAACTCTTATGTCACAGAATCTTCTGTGTACCTTCGGATGATAAACACCAGCCTTTAATTTAAATCTACATTTGTATTTGCGTTTTTTCGATAAGCTTGGTGAACAAAAATCCCAGTTTTCCAAAGTAGATTGGTGACATATGCCGACAAAGTATTTTGAAGATTTCAGTGTTGTTTCCCTAGATTCTGTGATATTTTCTACAAAAATCTGCAAGAAAAAAGGATTGACTGATTATAAATTTATGATGGAACCCAGTAGCATCAAGTCTTTCAGGTGGATTTTAAACGTTCCATGATTTTCATTTATTAACCTTTCAAACTATTCCATTAATATTTATTTAAAAAAAAATAATATTTTATTAAAACAACTTTCGTAATGAGAATTTAGTAACACACTTAGAAACTTACTGCGAAATATTTAAGTCCTATTGCCACAAATGCGCACGTTTGCAATTGTAGGTTCTGAATCCAATTGTGAACATTGTAAGGTGGTTCTAAAGTATAATTTGTTTGATCATAAGTAAAATCTTTTACATTAAAATTCAATTCGGCGACTGACAAACACAAGAATATTGTCAAAAAAAGTAAAGGCGTCATATCGACGTTTGACATTTTTATTTGAAATTGATTATGAAGACTAGAGCAGAGATTAGGGACATAAAGATAGGAAACGCAACGACCGCAGCAATGATGGCGTCATCTATGCATCTAAAGTTATAAGTCGTTTGTAGACAGACCAGTGTTGCCAAATATTTTTTTGAGAAATCTTACAAGTAGAGTAGAAAAATGGTATTTCGACAAAAAAATCGTACAATAGGTAGGCACATGTATAGCATAATATAAATGAAAGGAAAAAATAAAATATAACTTTGGCATGATTTATTTATGTATAAAAATGTTTACAACGGAAAAAAAAAATAATGAAAATAAATGAAACTTTTAATTAACATTTAAAGTAGTCAATGACTGTCACTAGAAAGTGATTGAAATTTTGCATGCAAGCCTTTGTTATGCCGTGATAGTTGGTGTTGGTACAAAATCACCATGGTCAAAATCACGATAAGTGAGAACGAAAATTACAAACGGCCTATGAATCTTTGCAAATTGTTGTTGATTTTTATATTTTTATGTTCTGAAGTTATATATTTAACGAAATCTACTAATAAAAAGAATATTGTATTTTTACGTACCATCTCACTGATGCAATCGTACATCGTACAATTAAAAAATCGTATAAATATGATTTAAATCGTATGGTTGGAAACACTGAGACAGGCAGTAGACGTGGAGAGCAGTGGACAGTTTGTGAAAATAAATGTCAGTTTTATGCAATTAGGCATTCCAAACAAATGAATTACCAGTGGGCAGGTTTGGTATATCTAAGGGTGGCGACATATGGTGTATTCTATCTACTTTACGTAAAATTATGAATAATGGATTACATTTAAATATTTTATGTCAAACACAATAAAAATATTTAAAAAACCCACTTATACATTTCTTCATAAATTGGCAGGCTTGGCGGGTACTACTTCGAATAAAAATAGCGTCCAAGTTGCAAGACTATGTCGCTACCCCTTTAAATATACAAGAATTTCCCACTGGCACCTATTGTTTGACAGGTCATTGGAATGCCTAATTGTATATTGAGGAATCCTGAATTTAAATTTTGAGTTAATGATTGTGTTATTCCCTAGATGAACTAAGCGAAATGGTTGTGTCTGTTTTTGTATGAAATTTGAGGACAATAATTACATTCTGTAATATTACAATAAGTCGAAGAACGTAACACAAGCCACATGAATAAATTTAACAACCCCAATGTGGCTTTCTTTAATTAACCAAAGCACAGTTTATAGCTAAAGAATCAGTTCGCTTAATCTGCGTCGGCACTTTTGATCTTAAAGTTCCAGTTTATACATTGCGCAACTCGGATTTGTATCCCTGGCTCATACAGAATCAAATCATAATAGCCCAAGAGCCCACTGCAAATTTTTACCGCCATCTGATAATGAAATAAAATATACCCCAAAAGCTTGTAGAAACATTGTACTTTACAAAATGGTAACTGTACCAATCCTAATCCTGAGCAAAGTGGTTAAAAAAATATTTTTTATTAAAAAAATCACATAAGGCATGACAGAGCTAATTTTGTTTTCCCTTACAGTTTTCCAGGTAATAATATATTCAAATACATCTTGATATAAATCGTTAACGGGAAACATTTTCTTGCTCTTAACATTGCACAAAAACATCTACACACGATTAGTAGGTAAAAATCATTAAAAATATGAATCAATTTTTGCTGATTCAAAAATTTATTTGTATGCCTAATGTTATGATTTATTTTTACAGGTTGCCATAGAAACGAATACTACGAAAAAACTACTGTGATTATGGTTTATAAGAATTGTCTAACAAAAGTTTATAATTATTATTGACTATCTCTGCAAATGGTTTATACAATATCATCCTTTTTTCATTCACGCATACACATGATTTAAAAGGTAGGTAAAAATATTAATAATTCAGGTTTAAAAGTTTACAATGAATTAGGATTGTAATTTTCAGGGAAAACACAATTATCACTGTCGTGTCTTATGTGATTTTTTGTATATAAAATATTTTTTTTCAACCACTTTGCTTAGGATAGAGATTGGTACAGGTGCAATTTGATAAAGTATAATACTGTAATTTGTAGTGGGCTCTCTTACTATAACCAATTAGACATTTCAACGACCTGTCAAACAATAGCTGCCAGTGAGAAGGTCTGGTATATCTAAGACGGTAGTGACATAGTCTTGCATCTTGAATGCTTTTTTTATTCGAAATAATAGTCACCAAGCCGGCCAATTTTTGAAAAAATGTATGTGCGGTTTCTTATTTGTATTATTACTTTTATTGTGTTTGACATAAAATATTTAAATGTAATCAAATATGAAATATTCCCACAGGCAGTTGATTTGTTTTGAATGCCAAATACAATATTTGACAACCGCATATATTCAAACAGCAGTCTTCTGCGCATCCTGAATTTGTATGTCTGGAGAGGATGTTATTTTGGAACATCCAATTGGTCCTAGTCAGCTAACTGATTCTTTAGCTATAAACTGTGACCAAAGTAAGATCTAGTCATGTAACACACATAGTAACTGTTCAAATACAATTTGAACACTCATGACATCAAACACCTCTACACATAAAAAACAGCGCCCATCTCTAACACATATTCATTACAGGAACAAAGAATAGACTATTCACAATACACAACTAAGTAAAATGGGTTGCATACCAACCAGACCAATCAAATTCAAATAAAAGTCAGTTAGTAAATGGAGGGGAATCATGTAACAAATATTTTTAGCGGTAAAAGAATGATCAGATAGCCATCAGCACTCAAGCTGGTAACATCTCATCTCAAACATCTCAAATTTGAAATCACCCACTTTTAAGTACATTCACGTTTATAAGTCTTAACACGTTATGATTGTTGAAATAAACAAGTTGTGCTTATGTTTAAAAGTGTTTTACTACAGTCAAGCTGCAGCACCTGGTAAGCTGTCCATTTCACGGAAAAGAAGTATTCATAAGGTTAGCTCAAAATTCCAATAGCTAGGCCGCCAAACTAAAGAGGCGATAAGGTAAAGAAAAAACCCCCTCATCGCCCCAACAGTAACCAAGTTTTGTCATAAAGTAGGTATTTATTTATTATTAATTGTTTTAGAACAAGAAAATGGCTTCAAAACGTTAGAAAGAAGATATGATGTAGGAAGAAAAATATCTGAATTCCCATTATTGAGTTTGTACTCAACATTGTCAAATAAGACACTATTGGCCATTCGTTTGGAAAATAAGAACAAAAATGTAATGTTACAAATAACGATTAAAAATTAAAAAATGTTTGTCATAAATAGATTTACAATAAATAATCGATAATAGACTGTAAGTGTAGTATTCTTTTTAATAAATAAGCGTAATTACATTGATTAAATTTATTTACAAGAACATGAAATTGCAGTTGATAAATATACAACCTTTATTACCAGGTTTTTAAATTTCCCGTTGCGTTGTTTGATATCGATGAAAGCGCCACATAGTGGGTCAGATGTTAACTGCGTTAAAGCTGGTCGTTAATAAGCATTGGCTGCTTATGAGCGTTTCCTATCTTTCTTCCTTATCTCTGGACTAGAGATAAGAAAGCGAATGGGCATACTAGAAATACGGTCCCAAAAAGCGAACGCTAATTGAGCTTTTACAATTCACCGCAAGGGCGCTGGGTATCGTGATTTGTGTGTGAATGAGATTGTCGTTCTCTTTGCGCAGAACTTTGGTGAAGATTTTATTCTGGTGGACGATAATACTCGTCGACGCAGGGCTTGAATTGTCCAAGAATGTCTGAGAGAGAATGGTATCGAGCGAATGAATTGGCTTGCTAAGTCGGCGGCTATAAATGTAATTGAACACGTGTGGAGCAGAATGAAACTAAAACTAAATCAAAGAGAGCAAGAATTACAAAATTTAAAAGAATTGGCAATTGTAGTTAGAGAGGTACTGGGATACTATTCCTCAAGAGTTTATTACAAACTTGGTGGACAGTATGCCGAGAAGAACAACAGAAATTTTGCGAGTACGAGGTAGGCCTTTTAGATACTAAATTATTTGTTAATATTGTTTCTCTTTGTTTTTTAGCATTTAACTGTAGGCTGTTTTTTGAAATATTGGCTTGTCCCGGGACTTTAAGGATACCCCTTATGTTAAAGATAGTGTAATGTGAGCCATTTCATTATTCAGTCATGCTCTAATCCTCCAAGTCTCTCTCTGTCTTATTTGGCTTTTGAGGCTCAACTTGTCCGATGAATTATGGAAGTTACTGGTACACAAGTTCCGATTGTGGTCTCTTTCTTGATGGCAATTGGGTGATCATTACCGTTTATAAGACGGACTATAATCTCCTTAGCAGTCGTGACCAACCCCTTTCCGATCAGAATTCCTTGTCCAACCTCTTCATCGTTGTTCCAAGGTTCCATCATGACAGGTGTTCCTTCTTCCATATTTTCTTAAAGCCGTGCTACTATAACAGTTTCACTTTAGCCAGGTACTACCGTATCCTCCTGTACAGCAACTGACACGGTACTGTTGCCATATTGATGTAGGATTACCTCTTCGGCACCAACTTTGATCACTCTGTTTTTAAAGTCCAACTGGAAATCATGTAAGTTCATTACGTCCATTCTAAGAATAACATCTTCTTCGATGTCAGCGACAACAACAGTATAAGTGAACTTTTCTGTACTAATTCCCAATTGAACCTGGATTTTCCCATGGATGTTGGCACTTTCACCGGTGGCAGTCCGCAGTCGTAATCTTGTTGGTAGAAGTTTCTAACGGTTATTTATGGTTTGTATAATAGTCCTAGTTGCTCCAGTATCCACCAACAGTGTATACTTTTTACCATTTACTTCACCGTCTACTTATACACTATTATCGTGACATTTCAAAGAGGCTATCAGTATGAGAGGGTCTTTGGAATGGTTTCGGGTTGAAGCTGCCCCTCTAGGCCGACCCGCTCTAGTTTTCCTGCGGCGTGTTGTCTTGATTCGTTGTGACCCTTGGACGTTT